CATCTTACTAGTTATGAAGTTGAGACAACTTTCTTTAAACGTAATGAACGAACGTTAAAGAAATGTTATTTTAAGGTGGTATTCCAACGTTATTCTTAACGTTCATGTAACGTCCGTACGAGTCCACAAAAATACTTCCCCTCGACTCTCAAACCAACGTTATCTCAACGTTCGACTTATGTCGAGACAACGTTAGTATAACGTGTTTTGGCTAGCAGGGTACCAGTAATATGGAGCACCGGCGATATTACAAAAGGCTGAAAACATAGTTCGGACACATATGTTTCACAGGGAAGAATATTTTGATGGGGAGATCTCATATGTACGGCGAAAGAAGTCAGTTGAACATCATCTACTTTATTTAGTTAGTCTGATCTAGAAGGAGGAAAAGATTTAAGCAACATATCCCTCAATATGTCACTCATGAAAGATAGACTATGGTCAGAAAATCGTCCGTGGGAATTAGAGTGTGATACAGCTCAGTATGAAAAATTCGGTAATGATGAGATGTAAAATAATTTAACAATAACTACGACGACACAACAGATAAACTTATTGCGTTTATTCCTTGCACACACACAAAAAAGGGGAGGTTAAAATATTACTCGACTGACAACACAACGACTTAATAGCAACTTTTTTCTTGTTTTCAGCTGTTTCGCCTGTTATTCCTCGGAATGAGATTTTGCTCCTTGTTAGACGGTAAAGTCTTTTTTCCTGACATCATTCATTTAGTGTCACACAGCTAAAATTTCTGTATTATGTAGCTGTTGTAGATCTGCTTATCTTCAGTTATAGATAACAAATGATTAATGCGCGTGACACGTGTACTCCACGCAATTTGCTGACGTTTTAAAGAACAGTAAGATTTAATAAAATAGCGATACTTCGGAGAGTAATATATAACATGTATGAACTTGAATTAACATTCCAGTTGAAACACTGGTCACCCCTAAGGATAAATTGTCCACCCTAACTGATTTTCTTTGTCTCTGGGCTGTGCACGCAGAATTTTCTGTCTGTTTCTTTTTACTTCTTTCCCTATTTCCAAACTGAGGTGGTTTGAGAAGTGAAACACGTGAGTTCAAATATAGGTTGCTCAAATTCATTGTCTGATTCACTTTCATTACTTGCTATAGAAGTTTAGAGATACGCCAATTAATCGATTTATTTGAAAATTATAGGAAAGGGCAATCAATACATCTTCTCTCCGATTGATGACGATGTTTGCTAAAAGAAGTCTAACAAAAACATAGTGCTACACCTCAAATAATTACGTCAAGAATTTCATTTACTACCTGTCAAAGGGCAAGAGTCTTTTTTTTGCGAGCACATTCAGTTGGTAACAAGGTAAGTTCTATTAAAGTTATTTAATAGGATTTCAGATCCTGATAAAAACAAAAACAAGAACTCAAGCCCAAACAAAGAAACAAAACATTTAGTTACCTAATACATGGTACGGAATTATTAAAAAGTAAGAACATAGTTATGATCTGGTTATTTCAATACTCGGCCAGCAATTAGTCGTCTAATTTCGTAATTGATTATTACCATAGCATTCATGAGAAACTAATAACACTAAACTATTTCTAATAATGCTCCGTTAATAGACTTTACAATAAATTAACGATGACTACTAAAATGCACAAAAATTAATTCAAGCTACTATTACCATCGTCGTTATTGAAACACTGTGCTAGACTTGTTCTTTTTCGCTTTCGAGATCCCTCTTCTTCTGTCTCCATTTTAGACATTTCTTCTGCACGCTTTGCTCTTGCCAATGTGTTTTAATAACTATCTGTGATATTAAAAAAGATAGAAATGTATATAAGAAAAAACATTACATAAGTAAATACCTCAAACTAAATCGAAATTTGAATTGACAAAGCATACTTAAGTACATAAATACCCTTATTGGATATTTATTCCATTCTATGGGCGTCCAAAACAGTCAATGTTACGAAAATCATTTTGTGCATCGAAACATTGGATTTTTATTTGAACCCAATGATAAAAAATTCGAACGCTCTCTCTAAACATTTGAAGAACATGAAATTCAAAACGAATTGGCACGGATATATTATGAACTTTACAAATCAAATAGTATGTATCACTTAACCAAATTCCTAAAACAGCAGGCCCAAAAGTTCCAAAAAAGAGCACTCGGTCATCAGGTGTTAGATTTAACTAATTTCATTATTACAATATGTGCTCTAACTTCTACAGGGGTGTGCATTCCTGAGTGAGATTTCTAACTTTTGAACGTCGTATTTGGTCGTCTTCAACGAAACCAAAGAAACAAACAGAACGCAAATTTATTTAAACGTCAAATTTTGATCGTCTTTCACCTAACCAAAGCACAAACATGACATGACGTTGTACCATCGTCGAATTTTTGTTAAGTCTGACCTGACCACATATTCTAATAAAATAAAAAACAGCACGACAAATAATTTCACATAAGATGCTCTACTCAGAGAATTTTTTCGTATAAGAAAATTGTTGCTCTAAGTGACATAATTTAAAGGATTTTTGTTTTCACAGTTTAAGTCATATTAATCATTAAAAAAAATAATTCGTTACATTATTTAAAACAATATCTCTTAATTAAATCGTTTTCCACGCAAGATTAGTAAAGTTAAAATCTGCATGGGATATCAGATGAATTTTCGTCCATAATATACTACACTGACAAATTGCACGTTAAACACTTTCACTTGGATGCTCTACTCAGAGATTTTTTTTGTATACGAAAATATTTTGATGTTATAAGTGGTATAAGTTAAAGGAATTTTGCTATTACTTTTTATATGTGGTTAATCTTATAAGAGAGTAAAATTCGTTACTTTTTTTTAAATAATATTTGTTGTTTTTTAAATTTACTGTTTTTTCTTAGTTATAAATAGAGTGTTAAGTTTATCAAAAATTATGCTTAATTTTAGTATTAAAGGTTGAAACAATATTTTGAAAATATTCAAATATTGTCTACAAAAGCAATGATAACCACACACTGTAAATAATCTATCTTAGGTAATAAAAAATTAAAATTAAAATTGTTACACAGTGCCATAACGTCTCTTGGTGTAATCGAACCGCCAACCTTTCAGTTAACTGCCGAATACGCTTTTCTTACTTAAAATTAGAGTATTATTTAAAAAAAAATTATGTTTATATTTAGTGTTAAGGTTAAAAAATTGCTTTTAAATTTAAAACATTGTTTACGAAACGCAATGATAAGCAAAGACTCTAAATAATTTATATCAGATTTTAAGAAATGGAAATCAAGAATGTTACTCAGTGCCATACCATTACTGGGTAGAATGTGTTGGGAATAAGTTATGTAATTGAATGTCCTACTGACAGAGAGACAAATTCTCCTTAGTTGTTTTAATTTCGTTAACCAATAGGCTTAAAAGAATTTTGATTGATGTTTTGTTGTAAATGAGTTGAAGAGAGAGTCTGAGTGAGTGAGCAATATATGTAATTGATAAACAGTGCATGAGAATAAAATATCGTTATTAAAAGCTTGAGTTGTTGCATCAATTCGACATATTCAAAGGGAATATTGCTTGGGCGACGGGCAAGATTCACAAAACGTGGCACCTCCGACGGGATAAGTGAAAATAGTTCGATCAAGAACAAGAATTCGTATTGAAACATGTCGAAGCAGGAAGCTGCGGAGCTAGCACTTGAAGCAAAACTCAAGCATATTACGATCACTTGCGGGAAAACTGAGAGAATTCTTGCGTCAGATAATCACGGGAGAATCGAAAGACATCGTGATGCGTTAAATGAATTAGTAAAGAAGCAGATACCGCCAAACGTACAGTCGAAGGGTTGAAAATAGCTAGCGGCGAAAAGTCGAAAGCATTTCCGAGTGGGAGGAATCGATAGAAAATACCATCGGTCAAGCTGACAATGCAATAGAACAATTACGCAAGTGGCTTATGGAAGTGAATGAAAGTAAGAAAGCACATTTAAGAAAGGATCAGTTGAATTTCGAGAAAGAGTTGTATGAAACCAAGCTGCACTACAAGACTCAATTGGAAGAGTCCAAGAGGGACAAACCAGAAGAGACAGGAGAAATGAATTCTACAATTAGTGGCAATCTGGAAGCTAAACTACCAAAGCTAGTGATTTCAAAATTTAACGGAAGCTACAAAGATTGGCCAAGATTCTGGAACCAGTTCAGCGAGACTATTGACAAATCAAATATTTCCAATGTAACAAAATTTTCATACTTGAGAGAGTTGCTTGAAAAACATGTCAAGTATTCCATAGAAGCACTACCTTTCACTAGTGAAGGGTATAACCGAGCAAAAGTATACTTCAGTCAAAGTATGGAAAGGAGTCAGAAGTGATTAAAGCCTACACCAAAGAAATTCTTGACTTACCCAACATACCAGATGCCAATGTACAGAAGGTGCATAAATTCTGCGAAAGACTCACCTATTGCGTACAGTCTTTAGAAACTATGGGAAAACTGGAGCAGATCAATGGAAGTGTTGCAATGACATTGGACAAATTGTCTGGTATAAGAAGCGACTTGGTTCGTACCGATCCCAACTGGGATGAATGGGATTACATTAAGCTAATAGAAGCCTTAACATTATGGACTAGGCGAAACCCTAGAAACCCTATATGTGAAGGAGAAAGGAAGGAAAATAGAAACAGTCCCCGTGAAAGAGTATTCAACACCAAATTCGGTCAGCGAAAATGTGTATATTGCGATGCAAACGATCATAAATCAGTTGACTGCTCAAAGGTGACGGATATCAACGAAAGGAAACAAATATTGGCAAAAAAGCGCCGCTGCTTCAACTGTACCGGAGAAGGGCATAGAGCAGCCGATTGTACAAGTAAAATAACCTGTCAACATTGCGAGAGAAGGCATCATACTTCTTTGTGTGAACAAGCAATGGGGAAGAAAACCCTGATGACTGCAACAAAAAACCAACGAAGGAGTCTTCCCAATCTTGACTGTAAAGGTTAATGGGATCATGTGCAGAGCGTTAGTTGATTCTGGGGCTGGCAGCTCGTATGCATCTGCAAAGTTGGTAAGTGTCCTTGGCATGAAACCTGCTGACATAACAACAAAACAAGTGGACATGCTCCTGAGTAGTAGTGTAGAACGTCTGGAGACCTATGCAACTAAAGTGGAGTCCCTCGATGGAGAGTTTGGTATGGAAGTAGATTTAATTAAAGTGGAAAAAAGTGAACTTTTATCAGTAAAAAACCCCCAATACAGCCATATGATTTCCAAATACTCACACTTAAAGGGGTTGATATCCAAGATGGTGACACGAAGGCTCAGCTTCCAGTACATGTAGTTCTTGGGGAGGAGTATGCCAGAATAAAAACAAAGAATCGTCCCCGAATAGGTAAAGATGGCGAACCTATCGCGGAGTTGACCAAGCTGGGATGGTTCGTGATGTCCCCTGGAAAAGAATTTGATCACAATCATATGTTACTAACACAAACCACTCAAAAGGATTATGAGAAGTTGTGCCGGTTGGATGTTTTAGGACTTGCCGACACCTCAGAACACGATCAAACCTCAGTGTATGGAGAGTTTAAGGAGCAATTGGTCAGGAGTTCAGAAGGTTGGTACGAGTCTGGTCTACTGTGGCGAGGTAACCATCCTCCTTACCATCTTACAAAGAAGGAAGTTTGCGACGCCTCAACAGTCTTGTAAAGAGATTAGACAGGGAAGGAATGGCCAGTGAGTATAACAGGATTATTGAGGAACAAGTCAGCAAAGGGTAGTTGAACTTGTAACCGAGCCCCCAGTGGGTAGGGAGTTCTACTTACCTCATAAACCCGTGATACGTGAAGCTGCACAAACAACGAAAATCCGTGTAGTTTACGATGCATCCGCTCGAGCGACTCCAAGTGCTCCATCCTTGAATGATTGCCTTTACCCAGGCCCGCCGTTACAGAATAAGCTTTGGAGCGTATTGGTTCATCATCGTTCATTTCCAGTTGCACTTTGTGGCGATATAGAAAAGGCATTCCTCCAGATCCGAATAAAAGAACAAGAAAGAGATGCCTTACGGTTTCACTGGAAGAGTGACAGTCAACCTGAACCCTTGACATATAGATTCACAAGAGTCGTCTTCGGCCTAACTTGCTCCCCATTTCTGCTTGGGGGAGTGCTAGAGCATCACCTAGAAACTTGGAAAACAAAGATGCCAGATATCGTTGAGGAACTGAAGAAATCTATGTATGTCGACGATCTGCTTAGTGGGGGACAAACAGTAGACAAAGCCAAGGAAAGGAAAAGGAAATCAATCGATGTATTCAACGACGCCAATTTCAATTTACATAAGTGGAACTCAAATGCCCATGAGCTTGAAGCAGATGAAGAAGAAAAGGATGATGAAGAAGAAACTTTAGCAAAACAACAACTTGGAACTAAATCTGGAGAATCTAAAGTGCTGGGACTGTTATGGAAAAGAAAAGTGACGAGATTTCCATAGTGATCCCATCAGAGAAATCGGCAAAACGAAACGTGAAGTACTGAGTAGATTGGCTCAGGTTTATGACCCTTTGGGAATTACATCACCCTTAATTCTAGAGGGAAAGATAATTTATCGTGATATCTGTAAGGAGAAGCTCTTGTGGGATGTACGGCTAAGCCATTCTTTGAAGTATCGATGGGACTGCTGGGAGAGCAATCTTCCGTGTGAAGTAAGTGTTCCGCGATCATTAGCTGGGTTCCGAGAACCAATCAAGTCTTTAGAGCTGCACGCATTCGGGGATGCTAGCACACAAGGTGTAGGAGCTGCAGTGTACTCAGTTATTCATCAAGAATCGGGAACTACTCAAATTCTAGTTGCTGGTAAAAGTCGTCTGGCAAAAGAGGACCTAACTGTTCCACGGCTAGAACTTGTGTCAGCCCACATGGCAGCGAACCTTCTTGTGAATGTGCGAAACGCTTTGGATCATTTGTCACGGCCGCAAAGTTTTGCATGGCTAGACAGCACTGTCGCCTTGCATTGGATACTTGGACGGGGCCAGTATAAGCAGTTTGTCTCAAACCGTGTCCGTAAGATACACCAACATCCTGAAATAAAATGGCGATATGTACCCACATCCGAAAATCCTGCAGATTTGGCCAGCAGGGGTGGGAAATTAAATCAGACGTGGCTCTACGGTCCAGAATGGTTATCTGATATGAGCAGATGGCCAACTAATATAACCACAACTCCAACTACTGCAACAGAAGCAGAAGCGACAGTCTCCCAAAAAAGTATCGCAATGACAACAAAACAGTACAGTGGTGATGTTCTGGAACAGTTATTAAGAAAATGCTCACTTAAACGAGCTCTAAGAGTGTCGTCATGGCTCTTCAGGTTCGTAAACAATTGTACACAAGGGGAAAAGAGAACAGGACCATTATCCTTTACCGAGATTGAAGAGGCTAAGATGAAATTTGTCAAACAAGCCCAAAAGCAAGGTCAATTACAACCAAAGTACGAGCAACAATGCAAAGAACTTAATCTTACGCGCAATACAGAAGGGATTTTAGAATGTCGTGGCCGAATTGTGGGTCAGTATCCTATCTACCTTCCCACAGATTCCTTGCTAGCTCAAAGAGTAGTGGAAAAGTTGCATCGTGAAACGTTACATGGAGGTGTTGGATTGACAATGGCTGCTGTAAGAGAGACGTATTGGATACCGAAGTTAAGAAGCCTTGTAAAGAAAGTTAGAAAGGAGTGTTTTGGTTGTAAAAGATATCGAGCGACATCAGTTCCCACACCCTCCTGGAAAGTTACCCGAGGACCGGACTTGTGGCGAAACAGCGTTCGAGGTGATTGGCGTAGATTTCGCGGGACCAATACGTTACAAAGGGAAGTCAAGCAAGGATTGCAAAGCGTATCTGGCGCTGTTTTCATGTAGTCTAACTCGAGCAGTGTACTTGGACATGATGCCGGACCTATCTGCTTCCACGTTCATACCAAGTTTGAAACGGTTCATTGCTCGGAGGGGAAGACCCAGGAAGATCTATTCAGACAATGGGGGCACGTTCATAAAACTGCGAAGTGGATAGATAGTTTACGAAAGGAGGAACGTCTTCAAGGTTATTTGGAGGAATTCGACATTAAATGGCAGTTTAACTTGTTCCGAGCACCATGGTGGGGAGGACAGTTCGAGCGGCTGATAGGAATTGTCAAACAAGCAATGTATAAGGCAATTGGAGGCGCAAATCTGAAGTGGGAAGAACTGTGTGAAGTGATACTTGACGTTGAAGTGCAAATCAATAGAAGACCGCTCAGTTATGTTGAAGACGATGTTCAACTGCCGGTGTTGACACCCAAGCTCTTTTTATTCCAGAGATCCAATCATCTGCCAGAACAGAAATTATTGGTCGAAAGTGATCCGGACTTACGTAAGAGGGCAAGATACTTGAAATCTTGCAAACAAGCCTTGTGGAAAAGATGGTCGAAAGAATACCTCACTGCACTGCGAGAACGACATAACATGAGTCATGGGACTAAAAAGTTCATTGTAAACGTAGGAGACGTCGTGCTGATCAAATCCAACGAAAAGAATAGAGGGAAATGGCCTCTTGGGATCGTTATAGAGACATATCCAGGAAGAGATGGAGTGATACGTGGGGTAATGTTGAAAACGCCAAATGGAAACCTAGAACGACCAGTTCAATTTTTACCCAATGGAATTAGCTTGTGATCGACAGAGCCATGAAGAGAGACCTGATCTTAATCCAGACGCTCAACCATTCAAGCCAAAGCGTAAGGCAGCTGAAAATGCAGCGGGGATCATCAAATCGATTGCTGACGAAGAAAACGAAGAGATTTGAAACACTTTCTAGAACAGTAATCCATTTAGATATACATCTTATCTTCAGATGTATAGGGGGAGTGTGTTGGGAATAAGTTATGTAATTGAATGTCCTACTGACAGAGAGACAAATTCTCCTTAGTTGTTTTAATTTCGTTAACCAATAGGCTTAAAAGAATTTTGATTGATGTTTTGTTGTAAATGAGTTGAAGAGAGAGTCTGAGTGAGTGAGCAATATATGTAATTGATAAACAGTGCATGAGAATAAAATATCGTTATTAAAAGCTTGAGTTGTTGCATCAATTCGACATATTCAAAGGGAATATTGCTTGGGCGACGGGCAAGATTCACAAAAGAATGGAACCACCAGCCTTACAATTAACCGCCGAACGCGGTAACCAATTACGCCAAAGAGCCATTCAGCCACGAGGGCATATTTTAAATAATGTACGTTTTGCTTGTAGCAAAAAGTTCAGTATGTTGCTATTAAAATATTTCAAAAAAAGTTTTGATTTTATATCTTGCTTAAATAATGTTTAAGAATGAAAAACTTACTACACATTTACCGTGAAAATAGCTTAATTTAAACAATAGCACAATATAAAATACTCATTTTCTCAGATATTTCAAAACAGCTCTATACAAGATTATTAAATTAATAATCCAGCGTGCGATATCTGATAATTTTTCGTCAATATTCTAATACTTATAAGGAAATGTTTTCTATAGAAAAATTGTTTCTCGCTGTTATTTGACATAGTTTTAAAAATTGTTGTCTTTATAATTTAAGTCAGGTTAATCATTTAAGAGAAAAAAAATGTTCTATTTTTTGAAGAGAGTAAAATTCGTTACCAGCCTTTCAGTTAAGAGCATAACGTGCTAACCAATGACGCTACAGAGACTTTAACAGTAACTGTAAAGCTTAAAATTTTATTTTTATTTCATAGGAAAAAGATTATTATTTTGCTATTAACAAATTTTCAAAAAACACTTTGATTTTATATCCTGTATAAATAATGTTTAAGAACAAAAAATTCTTTGATAATTTACAATATAAATAGCTAAATTTAAACTATTCCAAAATATAAAATAATTAATTCACAAGCATTTCATAGGCGCTCCAGGAATGATTAGTAAAATAATAATCCAGCATCTGATATCAGACATTTTTTTAAGTTCTAATAAATTGACAAATTGAACCACAAAGACATTCCCTGTGACAAGATAAATAAGAACTTTTCTATAGAAAAATTTTTTTCTGTGTATTATTTGACATGGTTTAAAAAATTTTTGTTAATTCATTTTAAGTCAGTTCAATCACTTAAGAGAAAAAATATTTGTCTTTTTTTAAATAATTATTGTTATTTCTTCAATTCTCTTTTTTTCCTTAATTATAAAAAACATTTTTTAGTAAAATATTATTTTTATATTTAATGTTGATATTAAAAACACGCTTGGCATTTTCGTGCGCAAAATTAGAGAATTAGAATGTGCCAAATTTTATTGCCGGCGCGCGACATTTGTTGAAGCTTGGTAACGAATTTATCGAACAGCAAATTCCTTGTTTTGTCGATGATTTTCCAGCACAAGTTTTCCTTGAGCTACTTGGGAACACAAGAGTGTTATAGAGGATAACTAGAGGATCATTTTGATATCTCAATTCCTATGGTTACACATATAGTTTTTCAACAGACGAGCTTGTTCCTCGAGGGTTTTTGGCGACATGGCGTCGGTTGGCGAAATTTGATAATTTACTCTAACTTCGGCTTGTATAGGTTTCTTTATCCGATCATTCTTTTGTTTAAATTTTGGATATTTGGTAAGTTAAATAATCTTCTTACAATCGTATGTTTTTTGTTTTGAAGAAAATGGGATAATTTAGCGTCAATCATGCCGTTCCTAAAGGCAAAGAATTACAAACGATTCAATTTTGGGAAATACATGCGCAACAAAAGAATGCCATGGGAAGGAAATATGAGCAAGCAAAAGAAAGCAAAATGTGTGTCTAAAATCTTAAACGTCTTGATGATAAGGTAAAAAACGTTTAGTAGTTTTATTTGAAATGATCTTTGCTTACTCGATCTTGTTATATGTCAATAAGTCAATACCATATGCAATATTTTGACATGATGTGTCGAATTTTGTAATGATAGGCTTATTTTTTAATGAAAGATTGTTTTATACAGAATCGACATATTTAGCGCCAAGGCGTACTATTTCAGTTTAATTGTATTTTTAGTGTGAACTGTTTGTGCTTGTATTTTATATCAGAATATGTATGCCATTTTTGTGCTGGAACTGTATTCATAAATTTTACAGGTAAAGAAATTGGTGCATGAAGTAGAAGAGTTAGATAGCATCAGGACAAAGTTCATTGAAGGTGGAAGTAGGCAGGAGGAACAAGAGGAGAAAGGTTTTAGCATAAGAAGGAAGGCAGTTGTTAGGCGAAGAAACAAACAAACTGGGCAAGGTTGTGTGGAGTCCACTGGTCGAACACGCAGGATGGAGACAATGTTGGCGGCTAATGCCATTCATGGAGGTAGTAAGGATAATACATAGCCTGGTACCATTGGAATGTTGGAGACATTAGAAAAAAGGTGCAAAGTGGGTGATATAGTAAAAGGATTAGAAAAGTGCAGTAAGTTTAAGAGCAAGGCTTTTCCAAAAATTTACAAAGAAGATTTGAAAAAGTTCGAAAGATCAGATGAGAATATGTTAAGATCGATTGCTGTGTATTATAGCAAAGGAGTTATGGGCAAAGAAAAGTATAGAAGAGTTTATAAGTCTAGCTCATATGAGCAGATATGTGGTAGTGAGAGGGCTAAACGTGTTAGTGTTGCTAAATGTCCCACCCTCTGGCTGGCTCCCTATGATAGATTAATGAATAACATTAAATCTATTGATATTGGTAAGTTATTTAGTGTTCGTGAACATCTGTGCAATGGGTTGGATGATTGTGAGAAGGTCAATGGTTTTTACAGAGATATAGAAGATATTCTTGTTAAGCTTGTAGAATTTTATTTGAACATTGGCAAGTATAAACTTTTCAGCTTTAATCAGCCAAACTCATTTCATGTTGCTATTGGTGGAGATGGGGAACCTTTTGGAAGAGATGATTCAGCATGCTCTTGGCTGGTAAGTTTTTTAAACATTGGACATGGCGTGTTGAGCCGCAATGAAACTTTCCTGCTCTTTAGGGCTAATTGTTCAGAGAACTGTCTCCCTGTAATTGCTTATAGAAATCATTCTACAAAAAAACAATTATTTAACAATTGCTTTTTGATTTGGCATTTGCTTTTTTTGTGATTTGTTAAAAAGCAAAGTAATTTTATGTACAAGCTGAATGAAAACAAAGATTTATAAAATTAGTTTTTTGTTTGGATAAGTTGTAATATTGTAATTGTACATATACAATGTAACAAAACTATTTAGTCTTTTATCACATTAGGACAAGTATAATCTGTGCAACTTAATCTTACCAGAATATGTACATGTTAGAGCATGCAAGCTTTACATGTGCATACAATCAAATTTGCATATATTATATTTATCTGAATTTTACATTGACTGATATTTGTGTAGTTAAACTAATTTTTTAAACCTCTGTCAACTTTAATAAAATCTCGAAGAAGCCAGAGGGTGGTGTCCTCATTGAAAACTTTACTGTCTAGTATTTGCAGGCAATGTGCTAGTTTGCCCTATTTTTGTTGATAAAGCAGACAATGCAACAATTACCAAGAGCTAATAAATGGCTCAGTTGTTAGTCAGGTTTCAACTTTTTTATTTGAAATAAATTTAAAAGGTACTTATAGATCTCTTTGTTTTTAGAGGGAAGACATAAATTAGGTTGAATTTTTTCATATTTGTTATTAATTTTTGAATGAGTTGCTTCTTTTGCTGTTTGGCAAATTTTATGTTTGTTTGTCTTTATATACAAAATAAGAAACTGGAAGGCTCATCATTGAATAAACAAAGTCTTTCACCTCGGTTACAATAACTGCTGCTGTTTGACCCTTGCGAAGTCCGCTAAAACTTCGCCTTAGGTAAGCAGCAACATCTTCCTTGGACAAGCCAGATAACAAAACAAGCAACTCATTCAAAAGGCGCATGGAGGTGAAGGATATCACTTCAGCCTTCTTGTTTTCAACCTGGTAACAGAAAGGAGCCACAAAACTATCCAAAATGCGAACAGTACGCATCATGATAGCAAAGAAAAGCATGCGGAGTAACACTCGTAATTTCCCCATAATATGGGTTTCTGTTGCTTTTTTTGCCACCAAGTCATCGACGAATCCCCATTAGCCAAATTCGTGACTCCTCCTTTAAGAGCTTAGCTGGATTGATAGAAAGTCCCATCAATCTAAGTGAACTATTGTTGTGTGTCGAAGTTGACCTCTGCAAGTTGAAGCGTAGCTTGCACTTGCCCAACACACCGCTTTGAGACAATTTCCTTATTTTCGCATTGCATGTCACTTGCTAATGCGAAAATTGCCTCTTCAACTTTTGTTATGGTGGAAGGTGGCTGTTCAACGGCGCTGTTGTATATGTCTTCTTGATGTAATTTTTCTTCTGTTGAAAATCGCACATTAGAAACAGCCGCCATCTTCATTAATTAATTATTTTAATCAAGTATTTTGTGCAAAAACCGCTGGACACAATGACGTACAAACTAGCGTTTTTTCATGCAAAAATGCCAGGGGTGAAAAATTTTTAAGATAATAAAATATTGTTTAGAAAACGCAATGCTAAATTTAGAGTTTAAACTATATATATTAGATGATATGAAATGCAAATTAAAAATTTTACTCAGTGACATATCGTCACAGAGTGGAATCAAACTACCAATCTTTGGTTAAAAACTAAACATGCTAAAAAATTATGCCACAGAAAATTTACCTGTTAAAGCACAATTTGAACTATTGTTATTGTTTCATAATAAAAAAATTATAAATTTTTGTTATAACAAAAGTTCCACGAAAGCTTTAATTTCCTATCTCATTCATATATTATTTAAGAACG